AATTATAAGTTCTTCAAATAAATACTAAATTTCTTCTAAAAATTCTATTTTCTGTAGTAATAATAATAATGGTAACAATCAGATGATGCAACTAAAGAACTACTGGCTCACTGAATACTTACCTTAGTATCTATGTGATCTCAAAGTTTACACACTTCCTATAAGATTGTAGTTGTTGTTAACTGCCATCAAGTCGCAGGCGACTCAAAGCGACCCTATGAAGGAAAGTCCTCAACACGTGTGTCTTTCATCCTCTCTCCAGGTTCATAGGGTTTCCGGAGGCAAGCTATTAGATTAGTCACTAGAATTATCTTTCTATTTAATTAACTGAATATTCACCAAGAAATGTACACCGTGAGTTTCAATCAAACAGGCAAAGATGTCAATAGATTCTTACCTAAAGAAGTCCAAAGCACACTTGTTGACAAGCTTGCCTTCCTCTAAGCAGCGCCTAGGATCTTTCTCTTCCCAGCGGCAGAGCATGAACTCCTTGTTGGGTTTATTGCACTGAGCACCATAATGATGGGCTGCAGCTTTAAGGACGGCAGAACTGACTTTCACCTGGAAAGAGGGAGAAAGAACACAAATTTGTGAACCAGGTTATCACTGCCTCAATTTCACTTCAAGCTGGTCAAACAAGAAGGAGCACAAAGGCAGCACTATTCTGACTTTACCATGTGCACCAAAGGGGTTCCCATAACGCTATATGATCTACAGCACATTAGAGATCAGAAAGCTCCTTCACAAAAGTTCTTCATCTTCAAAATATTCTCAACAGATTGATATTAAAACAAAAGTCCAAACCAGTTGCCAGCAAGTTGACTCTAACTCATGTTCAATGTAATCCTATGTATGTCAGAGTGGAACGTTACTCTGTAGAATTTCCAAGGGCTAATTTTTCAGAAGCAGATTGCCAGGACTTTCTTCCAAGGCACCTCTGGGTAGATGGAACCATCAACTTTTCAGTTAGCAGCCGAGCATGTTAACAATCTGCATCACTCAGAGACTCTAAGCTGTTATTATTTCCATTCAAAGGATGAAGAAATGGGAGTACCATTCTAATTCTTAGATCTTTACGATAGACTGGAACCCTGAAGGAGAACAGAAGGTTCTAGATGCAGGGAGAACAATCAACTCTGGGAATTTGAGGATTCTCCTTTCTAGTACTAAAAGCAATAAGGATATACACATTTCCAGAGAGCTACAGAAATATAGAAAATTACAACTAAAGAGCATCAGAAGAGTATTGAGTTCAGCAAATTGATTACTAGGTACTAAAATCGCATACTTCGGGCATGTTGTTACAAGGGCCTACACCTTAGAAAGGGACATGATGCTTGGAAAGGTGGGAGGTTGGCAAAGGAGAGGAAGACTCTCAAACAGGTGGACTGACACCATGACTGGTGCAATGGGCTCTGGTGTGTCAGGTGAGGATGGCACAGAACAGGGTTCAGATCTGTTGTTCACAGGGTCGCTATGGATTGTACTTCACACCATGGCATCTTACAACAACTAAAATCTGTGAATTAAAAATATTTTATGTTGTTGTTCTGGAAAGATCATGACAGACAAATAAAGAGCTAATTTACCAGTTCAGCTCGCTTGGCTCTGCAATCAACACTCTTGGTACCAGCAGCCAGGAAATCAAAAGACAAATTACACTGGGAAGATCTGCTGTCAGGGACCTCTCTAGAGTACTGAAGAGCAATGCTGTCAGTCTAGAGACTAAGGTGCACCTGATCCAAGCGATGGTCTTTACAATTACTTGCTATGCATCAGAGAACTGAACAATGACTAAAGATAATAGAAGAAGAATGAAGAATAAGTATCTTTGAGGTGTGGTGCTCGAGTAGAATTTTGAACATACTATGGAATGCTAAGAGAACAAACCGGTCTGTCCAGGAGAAAGTGAAACCAGGTTGCTCCTTGGAGGCAAAGATTTTGAAGCTCCTTTTCACATACTTTGGGCATGTTGCCAGGAAGGACTAGTCTTTGGAGAGGGACATCATGCTTGGAAGGATGGAGGGAAAGCATTAGGAGAGGAAGATTTCTGATGAAATGGATTAACTCTCAGTGACTGCAGGAATAGGGGTAGGTGTGTCAGAGCCAAAGAAATTGGATTCAGAGCTGTTGTACATAGGATCACTATGGGAAAGTGACTTGATGGCACATAACAGCAATGTTGTTAGTTGCTGTCAGGTTGGCTTTGACTCGTGGTGACCTCACTATAAAAGAATGATGCACTGCCTGCTCCTATGTCATCTCTCGTACAACATAATCCTTGAGACCCTGGTTGCAACCACTGTGTCCATTTACCTCACAGAGGGCTTTCCTAGTTTTCACTGACCATTTTCCTTAATAAGCACAATGCCTTTTTCTAGTGATTGATCTATAAACTAGAGCATATCCGAGGGAACAATCCCTCTAACTATGCCAGAATCCTGAACCTGCATTCCAGTACATTTTCTTATGAAGGAAAACTATGTCCTTGTCCTTGCAGCGAGCTCCCATTGAGCTGCACCTGCTCCAGGGCCTAGCCAGCATCTGCGGCAGCAAGGGGCCTGCAATACCTTTTCTTATGTGAATACTACATAAAAGTTATTTAAGCACTAAATGAGGGGGAATGGACATTTTTTGAATATTGAATATCTGCTGAAATTTTCTTTCTTTAGAGAACCTTTTCTAATTATTTTATATAAGAAATAACCAGTAGTCACTCTAGCCCACTGTAACTGTGTTTTTTATTGTACTTATTACTACATATTATACTTCTACAAGAACTAAAACACGGTCTTGAGTTTAATCATCTTTTTTTTTCTCTATAATTATATTTTATTAATTTTCATAAACATTTACAGAGATTTTGGGCTTCCACTCATTCATTGTTGC